TAAATTTAATTAATTTTATTTAATTGAATTTATTTACTTGATATTTTAAAAGTTACATTTTTACATTTTCACTTTGTTACCAAAAATCTGAAATCTTTTACAATGCTCGATTTTTCTTTTCTCTTCTAACAAAAAAAGCAAATACCGGTAAATCTTTCGGAACATGCTGATAGAACATAAATCGTTAAAAATATCGTAGCGTTATAACTATTTTATACTGCCGCGAATGCATACAAAGCCGGATTTAACAGCCGGAAAGACGATAAATAATTGTCACGGCAGCAAACACAAGCTCCATGGACACGAAGAGCAAGCGTGACGTCGCGGCGTATATGTAACAACCGTTTCGACCGATTGCTTAAGTAAAATTTATCTTAATGCGCCGAAGCTTTCAACGAGCTCTTAATTGACGCAGAGTGGAAAATGCGCGTAATCGGCCTAGGACGAAATAAACATCTCAGAGTTGGAGGAAGAGAGAGAGGAAGAAAGGGAGAAAGAATAAAAAGCAGCAGCAAATCTGCTGTATGAATTACGCGATTATCGGTCTCGCAACCTTTTTCCGTTCAGTCTGCATTGTGCTACACGCAACGCAGCTTTATGTATAACTGGTGCATTCTAATAAGAGTGCATTTTACATCGAGGCTGAAACAGCTTTCCGCGTATTTTCGCGTAAATTCGTCCTGGACAAAAAATGTCGAGCCATCAGCTGTTTTTGAATTATAAATTATTGTTGGCGTCATCTGCATGCATGTGACAGATTTTCAGGAATTAATTTTCCGAACGAATAAAAATTGATCATAAAACACGATCTCATGTTTAATTTAATTTAAATAGCGATTATGTGCGTCGATATGATTTTTTTTTTTTTTTTTTTTTTTTTTTATTCGACTATTAGCCGCGAAAATACTCGACAGGCGAAATGATAGAAAATTTTTCCAGAGAATACGGAGTCGAAGAGATTTTTACGAAGGGGAAGGTCGACTGCAAATTGGCGGAAGAACAAGAGGAGGAAGTACATGGCGGAATCCGGTATATATGGCTTAGACTCCTCCTGGTTTGTTTATTTCCAGCATGGGCTCGGATTAAAAAAAGAAAAAAATCACGTTTCTATTCTTATTTCAGTTGCGCGAAAAGTGCCGCGTAGTAGATGCATGTCACCAGGTGTCCGCGTAAATTCCGCGATTAATCACCGCGCTGCCGATCAATTATTGAACGCGCTTTTTATCCGCACTGAAACATCGTTGCCGTTGGCTTTCGTACATATTTACCTTTCCATCGTATTATCCGACATTTCTATGTAGATCTCACTTCCTTCGCGCGCTCTCGCCATTAGAATTTCAAGCGTGGACCCGACTCACGGAATTTTCGATAAAATCACTTCGCTGTCCTTCTTACCGATTTTTAGACGGGAGACCTGGCGTACTTCTTAAACTCTATTCATCGTTCGATCAGTTCATCTTATCCGCTTAAATTTTAGCGACGATGGGTGAAGACTCGGCAACCCGTTGATTAAAAAAAAATAAAATTAAAATTTCTACTCGAGGAGTATCTAAGCAGAAGTTGAATTACTTTTGCGAACATATTTTAACTGCAATTTTATTTTCAATTTTCTGATTATCAGAAAGACCGGATTGAAAAGAGAAATTAATTCAAAAAGTTCTGACGTTACAAAAAGAGGAAACCTTTATGCTTGATTGTATCAACACGAATTTGCTCGTGACAATCGTACTCCCTAGTAGAAGCATTCATTCCCGAGACTGTCGTTAGCTCGAAATATCCTCCGTGTTGTTCCGTTTATCTCCCGCCATTACCGGCTAAATATTAACGTCGTTGAATTTGCAGGCATAACAAATTCCGCATTTCGTGCTTTCTTGTCCCGATCGGATGGATTCTGTCACCCGCAATGAAAAGGTAGCAT